GGAAGAATCACTGATGCTTAAATTCAACAGCAGTTCCAGACTTTGGATCAAACAGGGTAATAGCCCTAGATTTTATTCAGGATGAAACTGAATTGGGAATCTATCATCACATTCTGGGAGTTCTGACTACACGATTGGATTAAAACTGAATAAACAATGCAAAAGCCCAATGATAGAAGATAAGCAACTATCTCTACACAAAAAAGAAAGGGTAATAAATTAGCTGATTGGCCCTAACTGATCCCTAAGGGAAATTAGGAAAATAGTATACTAAAATCTATCTTTTCTTTTCAGAGCTGCGAATCAGACAATTCATCAAGAACACAGACTGAGCAGCCAGGCACATCATTCTATCATCTATTTTAAAATCCTCTATGCTGTCATTCAGAAGTTTTCCTTCTTCATGGTTTTGTGAAACTACTCTCATTAATCTGGTCAGTGAAGGAAGAAATGGAGACGCTCTCTTTTAATATCTGTTCATGAAATAAAGGAAGCAAGCATCCAACATTACTGTTCACTCAGACTCCCTTTTTAAGTATCAGCAGGACCCCCGTGAATGCTTACTGTAACATACAGTGGCAAAAATATATAAAACTTCAGAAAATCCAAAAGAGGGTGAATATTTGGGAATCTCCCCAAGCCCCCAAATTCTCTTAAATTCGGTGAAAATGTATTTTAATGAGAAGTTCTACATATCTACCATATTCTATTGTTTTCACTAGCATTTGCCTTCTCATCCTAAATGTTCTTTGATGTTGTCTTTGGTTCTGGCTGCACACAGTAATTCGGAGCAAAAAGCGTGATCTACGAGACCGAAATCTTTCGAGTCGGCATTCCACCGGCCCTCTTTGTATACACATCTAGTAAGGGGAGAACATTTCAAGAGCATCTAGGAGTCTGGAGCTATGGAAGCTCCATTTAATGATAAGCAAGTTCTATATATACTACTTTATCATTTTGGTCTATATGAATAACTTGGCTAACCATCACACACCAATTGCACAGTGAAACGCAAACAAAACTGTAGGAATCATAGCAAGTGTTTATGAGGATCGTTTCTCAAATTCTTTTCCGAGGAACCACAGCCCCCAGTGGACAAATTAATTTAATGGACAGTGGCAGACATCCAGAAAACAGCATGGCTAGCTCAGATAGCCAGCGGGGCTTCTGACTACAGCCCTTTCCTTCAAGCAGAATCAATCTCTTCCTTTCCGCACCCACATGGAAAGGCAAATTACAATGAGAAACTATTTGCAGTATCCAGTTTCTTTCTGGGTGTGCCAACCGCCAGTTCTTATCCCCTCTCTACAAAGTCTGTTCCAATAGCCTCCTGAGTTACCACCCTTCCAATGTTTTGAGTCTTTTTTCCCCCTAATTATGACTTTCAGACACAGCTCATGACTACAATATTATTCTATTGCCACAGTCCTTTTTTACAGCATTGTAGATGAAAGCCTTTTTTTTTCTTTTGCAGCTGCAGTTGTACTACTCTGCCTAACTATTAACCATACAGCAATCCTAACCTTCGTAGATTTGGTCCCTCTACTGACAGAAGGATGCAAGATAACTGGCACAGGACCTTTGCCAGACTGAATCAAGCTCCTACTGGCATCATGGACACCTCCATGCCACTTCCATGGCAGCAGCACTGAAGCCACGGTCTTAATCCAAGGTGTTTTCCAACTTTCCCAGTCCAGCCTGCATCCCTAAAATCCCTGCTCCATCCAAGACCAGACCCCACAGTGCTTAGCTTCTAATCCCCAAATAAGCTAGGTACTGCTACAACCTGCAGAATTTCATGTCGGTAGCTTTTTCCCCGGCAAGCATCATCTTGCACCATCCTTTTTTAGACAAATGATCTGACAGCTGCACTGCACGCCCACGCCTGAACGGGGGCCAGGGGATCATTCAATTCCTATCGTCGAGATTTGTCAAAGTGTACATCCATGACAATTAATCACACTGTCCCATCATCTGAAGCAGTGGGATAATTCGGAGCTTGTATGGGAATAAGTATGCAGCTTTGGCAAATGTAAGATTCAAGCAACCATTTCTTTTTTTTTGTTGCTACAGTGGTTTGGTACCTTTCAGAGGAGATCGGTAAACTGTTTTTTCCACTTGAGTATGTATTCCCCAGACTGTGACTTTCTCCAGTAGCACTTGGTAAAGAGGAATCAAATAAAAATGCACCCTTCCTGCCTGGTTAAAAAACAAGAAGATAATTCTCATCTCTTTACAGTGAGACATGATGTCAGGTGAGCTTTCAAAAAGAACGCCACAGAGAGCATTACGATAACAACAAAGGCAAAGGAGAAGCCATTTCTCAAAAAAGTGCCCGCTGAGGCTTCAAAAGTGACCCTACCCTAAAATATTGTTAAGACTAACAACAATTAGACATACAAAGATCTCACTGAACAAATGCCTGCAATCTTTGGATCACATACATTTGTCATAATGATATTCATATATGGAATAAAATAACATTGCCTGTAGGTTTGTTTTCATACCCTAGTTTGCTTTGAGGATTGAAAGATAATATATTCTTGATAGGTGGGAAGATTAAAACCTCATTACTTTATATTTAAGTGTAAGCTACTCAGTGCAATATGTGCAACCCAATCATTAAGCCATAATGTAACTATCTGGTTTTATCTTAGCGTGTTGCGTGAAACACATTTTGATTTATAAATCAAGATTTATATGGCTCGGTATTTGCTGTCAAGCCAGCCAATTCTAGTTTATTCAATAACCCATGGATAAACAGATTGCTTAGTTTGTGAACACAGTTAAGAAGACCGTCACATTAAGAATTCTAATGCATGGTGTAAACTTTGAAATAAACTAACAGTGGCAGCTCAGATGCCCTAATTGGGTTGGTTTGTAAGAGTCACCGCATTCAGCGCTGAATAAAGACTCTGTGAGACGCAGGCTCGTACGAAAGCAATTTACTCAGGTGTAATGCATGTGTTACCAACAAGCCAGGGTTGGCTTGGCACAAGTTACATAGCATTTTATAGCTTCCCTGTTTCCGGGGTTCGCAAGTCCCACCTGCTGACCACTCCTGACCGCCTTTGCCCATCCTTGCTTTGCCCCTCGCCCCCGACTCTCCCCGCCCCAGGCCGATGGCAGGTTCAGCCAGGGTCCTTTGTTTTCTGCTCCTTTACTTGTGTGGCAGGTCCCGTGAGGTTGACTCACGATTCCTCTTGATGGGCAAAGTGTTTCGTCTTCATTGTTGGCTGCGGCTGGGGGAAGTCCCGTTTGTTGCAAAGTAATTGATTCCTGCCGCGGGCTGATTGCCGCCACCTGTCGGCAGTTCACTTGCGTTTTGCAGCTTCCTCTTTCGGTTGCCTGCGCCTGAGGCACGGAAACTGCCTAGGCGTGTTTGAAATCAGCTAGGCGGAATGGCGGCTAGCTTGGAAGCCGTGTGCCGTGTCAGGCTGAACCTGACATGGTTCATGTATGCATATTCATTATGGAATGACTTTCCCTTGTGAAGTAGCCCTCACAGATAAAACCTTAGTATGAACTTGGAAGTAAACCTTTCCTAGGGAGCTGAATCACAGTCAACCTTGAAACATCAAATACATCAGGAAGCAGTGAAGTGATATGGCTGGCGCATATGATAGACTGATAAGACAGCAAACTTCATTTATTTCCTTTGTTCTGTCAAAGATTTCCACCTGGAGCAGTCTCAGTATGATACTGAATATGGGAAGGAGTGGGGAAGCCATTCAGGTAGAGAACTTCTCTTGACTGCCTTATTTTTTTGACTGACTATACTCTATGAATTCAAGTTTATTTCACTACAAAAGGATAGTTGTTTTGCTTCCCAACCATAAGGTTCTTTATGGAAGGGTTGTAGAGGAATTATAGGTAATCATTTAACAGATTTATAGCCAACAGATTCATGATGAATGTTTACATTTTTATTTTAAGTAACAGGAAGAATTAAGCTCCAGTATAAATGCAAATGAAGCTCCTTAACCAAAAAAAAAAAAAAAGCCATCTTTACTACAATAAATAAAGTATGTTAAATTATCCAGTTTGACCTTTAGATATAACATACATTCAGAAAATAGCTACATGCAAGACCAGTTGGGTCACCATTATCTTCCATGCCCTGGAAAAATAAACAAACAAACAAATAATAAAAATTCGGATTTGAAACAATTTTTAAAATCCTTTCTGACATCACCAAATCTCCAAGAATGCTACATATGTGTGTATGGAACCAACTGGATCATCTACACAATCTGTCACTGCAAGTCTGTATAAACAGTGTCTTTTAGGGGCCCTATCAAGAATTGCAACTAAATACTATTTAACTTAAATAGGGTTTAATAGTATTTAATTTAAAAATTTTAAAAATGATTTGAATAATATATATGATAGAACAAGACATGCTGAAGGTGATTTTCCTTTCATCTTTAAAGCACTTGGAACTGCTTTAATTCAATGAACCCAAGGACACAAACTAGCTGAAACATGTAAATCAATTATACATCTTTACCGTGAGGAATGTCTTGATATCCAGTCTTGGTTGACAGCTGTATGTGGTTAAATTAGAATAATCTAAGAATCGATTCAGCTTTTAGGGAGGCTTACTAGAATCCCCGGAGAAAAGGGAAAAACGACTCATCGCCAGTGAAAGACGATCTATCCAAAGAGCAGCACGACTCCTGTCACTCAGGAATACGAGCTTGAACACAGCGAACTGATACACAGGATCTTGGACCAAGAGAGCGAGGAAACTGGCCGAGGCAGCACATTCAGCTCCTCAAGGCGTGCTGGGGGTGAGGGAAGGGGGAGGTTTTGATGTCATCTGCAGGCAACTGTTTTGGCTCCTGCATAGACAGGCTTCAACAGATTCTGGAAAAAGCTGGTGCCCGGACAAATGTGTCTTTTCATAGCAGAATCGGAGAAAATCTATGAGAAAGTATGAGGATACCCAGATAAGGACCAAAGAACATAAACTGCTTTTAGAGAATGGAAGATACGTGATATGGCATTTTCCCAGCTCTCTTTAATGTAATTTCATTTCCAAAAATAAAATAGGTTTTGCTGATTTTTAAGCTTACAAAAAAATATATAAAACCTCTTGATCCTTGATCTTTATTTATGTATTTTACTTATAAAATACATAATGCCTTTATCACGTTGTCTGGAATTCTCTGAAAATGCATGAGCCTCTAGTTTGACTAAAACAAACAGCTTAGTTCACTAAAAATAATATGGAAGGTAGGAGAGGGAAGTATTGCTACAATTTTTCATAGTAATTAGATTTTTAAAAGTTAAATATTTTAAATACTTTTCTTCAAGTATTGCAGGATGAACTATAAGAAATATTATTTGATTGGATGACATTATAATTACTGAAAAAAATCCTTTCCACCTTTATGGCAGAAAGGCAGCACTGAGATTTAGAGTTAATGGGTTTTCTCCCCTTCTTCCTGCACTTAATACTGCATGCATTAAAGGAAACTTTTTTTTTTTATTTGCATTACATCCAGGTATTGCAGTTTGACTAAAATACAACAGCAAGCAGCAGTGATAAAGTGATATGCAACAGCCTTTGGAGGGGCTTCCAGGTAAGAACTGCATATTTAGTTCTTTGCAAAAACATAATTATTAAATCTTTAGTTGGGTGAAAGTGTTGCATAGCTTATTATTAGCATCTGTTGAAATCTAGCAGTGCAGCCCTGTGTCTGTGGAAAGTATCAAGAGCCAGTGGCGAAGAGAAAAATCTGAAGAAGAGGCATAACTTTCAGAGTCGAAAGATCAGCAAGGACAGCCTGGAATGAAAAGGGAAATCATAATATTTCACAAAAGTTTGTTTTTTTAATTTAAAGTAAGGCTAGTGAATAACTTCTTCATTTACAATGCACATATTCATTTATTGCTTTGTTTTTTATTTAAAGGCATTTCATTTTGATCAAGGTTAAACTCTCAGCTTTACTGAAAAAGAGGTTGTAAGCATAGTGATCAAGTAAACTGAATTTTTATTTTAGGATTTAGACCTCGTTCAAATAAATGTGGTATCACCGATGCATAAGGGAGTCTAAAATTTCACCTTGTATCTAAAAATAATTGTGCGTTAAGAATCCTTATTCTGCTTGTGTTAGCTTATAAGTCTTACAAGTCTGTGATTTTAATGATGCTTCAACCCACGTCCTTTCATTTTAAGAGTAACATTTTTATTACAATGACTTTTTTTAAAAAATAAAAAATCTTACTTCAAAATAATACTTTACCCCATACTACCAACTTAAGAGAATGCTGTTAAGCTGAAGAAAATGTTCACAGAGCCAGAGAAACCTACAGATAATTCTTGGGAGAGTTTATAGAGATGTGAAAATGGCTAAACTAGGAAAATTAAGCTATGCACTGTGAAGCTTTAAAGGTACATGGAGTTAGAAACAAAAGGAGATGCCAACAATCATAATATTTAATATTATGAAAATATAAAAAGTGTTCTGTTCTTTTCAAGGCAACAAAGGTATGAAAACTCTCTCTGGCTTGACTTAGCATCAGTCCCATTTTTGCCTCCCCATTCTCTGATTTTAGGAAGCAAAGGTCTTTCACATGTGGCATCACTTTCCAAGGCAGTGCTGACCATTCCTGGGAATAAAGATTTCTTCTTGATTATGACTTCATTTCCTTTGGAAATGAACAAGATCTGCATGATCATACTTTTTACAAGAACCAGAAAAGGCCCCCCTCCCCTTCTCTCCGCAAATATCTAGACGAACTGCACTGGAATGGGAAAGTCTATTCACGGACCGCACAATGTTAAATGCTTAACAAATGTAATTGTTGATTAATTGTATTAATGTAACGAGCAACCTGAGGGCTTTAGTCAGGAAAAGGGGTGGTAAAAGCCAAATGGATCGACATATTTATAAGCACCTTTCAAAATAAGGAGAGCTAAGATCTTCAGTCCTCTTCCTTCATCAGACATTTAAAAATAAATCTCATCAAAACACACAACACTGATCTTACCTTTTTAAAAATATGTATTACTAATAAATCCCCAATAAAGCAAGAAATTAATTTAATTTATTCAATGTAGGCACCACCCAACTCCATACTGACTCTGGGCAATGTACAATAAAAGAACAGAAAATACAATACAATAATCATACAAAGAAATAAGAAAGAAATAAAAAACAACAAAGCTAGCCATAACTAGCTAGAGGGGTATACATTTTGTTTGTTCCAAAGATGATGATGATGATGATGATGATGATGATGATGATGATGATGATTTGATCCCATATATATCTATATCTATATTCATTCAAATGGATGTGCCATCTGAAGATCTGGAGTTAGTATAATGACTGAACTTTAGATATTTAGACAGATATCATTAGACAAACCAGTTAAAAAAGAAGAACAGGAAGATAAGGAAATGTTATTGTTATATATATATATATTTAAAAAAGGAGAATCTGGATCCATGGCAAAGAGAATGTGGGGCAAAAATCCTACCCTGCAATGCAGTGTAATTTCTACACTGACAAGGTCTGGCAGTGACCGATCAGGAAAGATAATGTAAGTGTTGCGATCATCTGAGATACCAAGAACTTTAGGAAATGTCTTTCTGTTACTCTGGGAGATGCTGAATGCAGCTTGATGGCCTTCAAGTGATATGTTTGGGGTGATGGAAATTGAAGTCCAACTTCATGGAGGGCAACCAGTTGAGAAGGCCTCCAAGATAGCTTCTTCATAAATTCTGTCTATTGAACACGCTGGGTAGGGAGAGGCATAAGATCCTAGAGTATAGATACTGGGGGTTATTTTGAGACAAACTGAATGCATAGTAAACATGCATGTGCCATCTGAATGATCAAGATTGACAATAGTGAAAAGGTAACAGAGTAAATAACTTCTGGGGAAAAGCCACATTTGCAGAATTATCATGTCTATCTTTCAAATCATCAAAGTGAAGAGGGAAGTAAATAAATAAGCCTACAGAAGCACATAAAAGCTATTCAGAAGACCAAACTGGACAACTGGGAAAGGACATAATGTATGGGTATTCATACATCAATGTCAGAATGAAGAAAATATTAGGTAGACAAGTGGGACCATACCTACTAAGAGTAGGTACATCACATTCCCTTATTCTGAGAATATTAGGGTTATACTAATCTGTATTAGCCTTCCCCAGTCTGATGGCCTTCAAGTGATATGTTTGGGGTGATGGAAATTAGCAATGGAGGCGAATGGATGGAAATTGAAGTCCAACTTCATGGAGGGTAACCGGTTGAGAAAGGTTCTTTTATATACTTTAGATCAGAGGCATACAGAGGCTCTGTGGTGGAACACTGACCCAGATACTTTCCAAAGTTGTTTCCCTTTTTTAAAACCAACCAACCAACCAACCAACCAACCAACCAACCAACCAACCATTGTTTTAATTCAGTTTAAAATTAAAGAAACAAAATGCAGTTTTAGTCCTGCTGTCTCCTAGACTTTGGAGAATGGCTTTGCAATACCACTCTAACCCTAATTCTAATCCTTTGCCTGAAAGAAGCTCTGCCCCTCTTGCACTAGGCAATATACTTCAGAAATAGTTCAGAAAATGATGCAAGATGTACTTTCCATTAATACTGGAAAACGTATTTTTAAAAACTCATTTGACCATTCTGAATTAAGTAGTACTCTTCCCCCCAAATTGAAGACAGTATGCAAAGTGATGCCCTGAATTATTATGTTCTGTTCATTTATTGGCACAAGTAGTTGAGAGAAACATATTTCTGGTGATTTCTATTATTTGCAAAATCAATAAGATGCACACTGAAAGTATCCTAGAGTATCAATTGCAAAATAAATATTGTATCTCATACATTGCCATCAGACTTTATCAAAATGGATGAAAAAGAGATGAAAATCCAGAGTTATCTCTACCAGGGATTCTAGATTATTTTCATCTCAAATTTATTGTACCCTAGCAAAGATGATGTCAGCATAGCACAAGACATAGTTGCACTATCTGGAGACAGTGAGGCTCTACTGTTTTATTGCGGAACAGACAATAACAAGGGCTGTGAATAGAAATTTGTAAACAACAAAAAAAAATGTGTTCATTTCTGACTTCTGGTACTCATATATGGACATACTATAAAGTTGAGATAAGAGAGTCAGTGTGCAACAGTGGTTTAGATCTTCAACTAGAACTGGGGAATTCCAGCTTTAGGACAACCCCAGCCATGAAGATTCACTTGGTGTAAGAGTCAAGTTCAGCGCCAGAACTTCCCAGGGTAGAGATCTATGTTTTGTCAAGAACTGTCCATTATTCAGCTTCAAGGCTGAGAAATGCAGGTTAAAAACTCTGATAAATCAAGGGATATGTAGGAGGAAGAAACACCAGATTTAATCTATAGCAAATGTAAACACAGAATAACATCTTCAAGCTGGCAGTGGGCCATGAACAGTTTTAGTGACTTCTCGCTAGCATGCAACTAATATTCTTATCTAGCCAGGCTGTAGTGAGTGTGGAGACACTAATGGTGAGTACAAACCTAGAGCCTGGTCAAGCCTTTGGAAATTCTGCTGAGGTCACTAACTTTGCCACAGGGTGACTTTTGGCCAGTGGATCTCAGTCCAGCCTAGAGGTTACTGTTGTGAATATTTGCATTCTTATCTAAATGAAGGCTTATGCCAAAACATGACCATACCAATTACAGGAAATCCTTTGCTTTGTTCAGAGCTGAAATGAAGTATTTGCCTATCAAAGAGAGGGCAGCATTCCATACAATTTGCAATATAAAGTTTGCCATCTTCAAAGCATACAAGGACCTGGATCACTGGAGTAAGCAAGGATTGTGAGGATATACAGCGGTACCTCGGGATACGAACTTAATCCGTTCCGTGACTCTGGGTGTATCCCAAGTTGGTCATAACCCGATGCAAATTTCCCCATAGGGTTCAATGTAAATCCGGTTAATCCGTTCC